GGGCCCGGGGTGGCCGTTGCGGCTGTTGGAGCCGTTAGGGCCGGCAGGGAGGGAGGGGTAGAGGAGGGGTTGTGGCCTGTGGGGGTCTCTCTGAACCCACGCAGGCCTTTCCTGATGATGGGCTTTGAGTGTCTATGAGTTTCTCTTTGCTTTTCCCGGCATCATCTTGAAAAATCGCTCAGCCTTTTTTGTTTTTCTTCCAGGTTTTCTGGTGTAACTCAAACCAGGGCTACTTGTTACCTCTGCTTTTTGGCCTTTGTAAGAGACTGAGAAGATGGTGAACGTCCTCAAAGGTGTCCTAATTGAATGGTCAGTAATGGGATTAATTGTGGGTCCCTTGTATTTTCTTTAGGGGTAGGGATATTCAGGTGCTGTCAAGGGCTTAGAGTAAAAACTGCAATTGCTTTGAAAAATAATGATACCTAACTGAAAAAGCAGACAAAAGAAAAGTGGATATGTGATTTGGGGAGAAACTTTCAGGAAGTCCTAATTCTAAACCACTCTGTTTAACCCAAGATATTACTGCTGTCTACTTCCTCTTGTTCTCTGTATTGTTTGCAAATTTTTGTTGCTTGTAGATGATATGCTTTTTTTGCAAGTTCTAGAGAGAAGTGAGTTTATTAGTTCCAGCCCAAATTCTGGTTAAGGCAGTCGTATGTCTGCAGTTTATACTCTAAAAAGAATGTGCTTGCAGTTTGTAGAAGTAAACTATTTATGTATATGTAGTAGAAATGTTTTACATGTATTCTGAAATCTCCAGAGTAGTGATGGGATGATTGGTTTCTCCAAAGTAGAGTGAAGTGACAGGATTTGTGGATTCATTGCATGGCACTGTATGACATTTACTGTCTGCTATACATCTATGTTGTAAGCATGCTAACATAGGTGATATGCTAGAAAAAAGGTGATATGCATAGGTGATAGCTAGAAAAAGCCTAAGCCTCTTACTGACGAGTCTGTTTAGTGGCTACAGCTGCAGTTTGAGATGATGGGATGTGAGGCAGCGCAAATGTGGATGTCTAATAGCTATGAGTGAGTGGCTGGAACTCTGAGTTTTGCTATTAAAAAACTTCCATACTTAAATTTGGCTCTGAGGTTTTGACAGACCTTCTGAAACACAAGAGAGGGTCTGGATTCATGTGATCATGCAAGGAGATTGAAAACAGACTTGCTGACTGACAGCACAAAAGGTTTTGAAATTCCAGGCTGTTAGAAAAATGTTTTGTACCAATTAAACTACATATTTTGCATTTTTCTTGTATATATGCAATTAAATTACTCAAGGTTTGCATATTCTTCTCAATTTTCCAGGCCACATCCCATGCTGAGTATTAACAGGGCACTCAATAGGTGTTTGCACACCTTCTTCCATACTCACCTGTGTCTTCATTCCTAGGCTCCTAGCACGTATAATACTAAAAAACAGGGTACAGAGATACTATCATCCTAGCAGTGTGAAAGCTATTCCAAGAGTAGTGCCTTGCATTGCGCAGGCCGCTCCTACCCACTGGGCCAAATATCCTACCATGTGGTACTACTACTTGGTGTCCATAATGAATGAAACAAAAATGAAGCTTCTCCTGCCTGTAAAGTAAGCAGTGTGTGGAGAAGCTGACAAGCACTTATCTGTTCTTTTCTTATTTTTTCTTGTGATTTTTTTTTTCTCCTGCTGTGAACATAAATTAAGGCTTTTCTGAAGAGGGCTCTTGCCTTAAAATTAGTTTGTAGTTTTCAAACTTAGCTTGTTCAGTTATGCTTCTACAGGTTTGAGGGTAGTATTAAAGATTGCTTTTGTGTTGCTTGTAGGAGGATATAGAGGAGGGACCTGTGTCATAATGAGTGTCTCTGCACCGTATGTACTTTTGGGTAATGGAGAACTAGTCCTCAGAGCATTTAAAGGAAATTACTCCAGGAATTCTTTTTAAGATGTTGTTGATTACTACAGTGATGAGCCAACTGCATTAATCACTTTGAAAGTATTGAGGCATGTAGTTCCAGTTTTCTGTACGTATGCTTGTCTTGGGGGCCATAAACACATGTTCAGTGTTGTCAAAGAGCTTTTGCTTTTCGGTAAAGCTAGTGTTGTTGGACTAATATTGATTTCTTGAAAATTTAGTGAATCAGTGTTCTGCTTCTATTTTTTTTTTAATTCTCTTGAATTGTGAACTATAAGCCATTCTTGAAATGAATGTTATTTCCTAAATAACATTGAAAATGTCTTGAAGGGCTTTTTTTTTGTTTGTTTGCTTGTTAGTTTGTTCTAAATTTGTTGTATGATAGTGAGATGGGATCTGATGGGTATTGTTTGTCTCTACAGTGACCCAGCAATGAAGCAGTTTCTGCTCTACTTGGATGAGTCAAATGCCTTGGGGAAGAAGTTCATCATACAAGACCTGGATGAAACTCATGTCTTTGTATTAGCTGAGTTGGTTAACTTTCTCCAGGAGAGAGTGGGCGAGTTAATGGACCAGAACTCCTTTCCTATTACTCAGAAGTAAAGGCTAGATAAATTAGATAAATGTGTGTTTTGGAATAGTGCATTTCAATAGATTTGATTGTTACTCTTCCAATAGATATACTGTGGTTAGCAAATTTTGTGTGAAAATGGCCACTTTATAAAGTGGATCGATTTCATCAATGAAATGTCCTTGAATTGGGTTCTAATTCTCTTTGAAAGATTATTAAAATCCTTAAAATAATACATCAAAGCTTGCCTAAGATTTCTGATGCATGCTGTGTTCCTTTAGGATTTTTATCTTTCTTGTGAAATGGTATGACCCTGAAATTAGGGTGGTATTTCTGTATTGGAATGCTATATGAACTCCATTGTTATGTTATATTCCTGTGGAATTGATTAAATCTTGTTGTAGTGTGACTGACAGAAGAATGCCTGTTAAAGTATGATCTGTGCTTGATAAAAGAACCCTGTATGTTGAAAGCATGATCTGATGAAATCAGGTGCTGATTTAACATTTTTTTTTTTCCTTTTTTCCTGTTTGGTCAGGCATTTTATAAATGCCCCTTAATACTTAACCTACATGTCTGAGTATCAAAAATAGGAAGTTTAAGAGATTAATGGGAGACCAATCCTTTAAACATAAGAGCTTGTCATATTCTCTTCCTCCTTTACCCTTTCATCCTCTTACCCTCATAAGCTAAACCTAGTCACAATATTATTAGGTGAACCAGAAGGGGAAAGACTGTTTGCTCTTCCTATGGAAAAGAAAGCTGCCTTTTAGCTCTTATTTCAGCTTAACTCTTCCTCCTCCATTGCTCCCTAAGAAACAAAAGTTCTCCTTTATTTTTTACTTAGTGCAAAAATAAATTTAATTTGCATTTGTAGCCCAATATCTCACATAGGGGCAGTAAGTCTACTAGCCTACTAGTCTGCTATCATGAAAAGGCCTGTGAAGATTTCCATCTTAAAAACACAACAGATATAGAATACAAACTAAGAAAAACTTTAATCACATCTTAGGTTTACTTTAACTGTTGCAGTCAGCTTCCAATACCTGAGTTAGGTTTTTGAAATTAATATGGCTGTTTCTTGCAGGGCAGCAAAGCAACTCCGTAGCACACGGTATTTGTTTATGACCCATAATCTGATTGGTAAGATGTGCTTTAAATATAAATATGCATTTATTAGCCTTCATTCATTGCAGCAGAACAGGCTATTTCCTTCTGTGTGAGATGCCTTGGTCAGAGAGGTAATGCCCATAAGTAGTTGCCTGAGATCTCGTCTGCCCCAACAGAGGCTGTGTGAAGCGCTACCGAGTGTTATGTGGAGAGCTTGGGAATTGCTGCTCTGCGATGAAAAGAGTGGCTGATAAACTCACCAATGGACGTTGCGGGATACCTGGGTACTTTATTTTGCCCTTGCCGCTACTATAGGGAAACACTGAACGCGTGAAAACTACTGTTAGTAGTTTATTTCTTGGATTTTTTTTCATTCTGCTTGGGAGTTTCAACATACAAATGTATTTATTTTTAAAGTGATGCCTCTTTAGGGGGTGGAGAATTTAATTTAGGGACTAGCAAGAATTTAAGGACATTTGTGATGGTGCTGAATTACTGTATGTTTTTGCCCACTTCCTTGAGTGTAACTTGAGGAAAGTAAGTTTCTTTGCTACAAAGATTCCACTTAGAGATAACAGTT